CGATTTTACCATTTACAATTTGTTGGTTTTAAATTTTTAATATATTCAATTTTTGCATTTTTTAATTTTAGTTTTTCAATTTTAGATTTTTCAATTTATCGATTTTTCACTTACTGGATCTTAAAACTTTTTCATTGATCAATCTTTCAATTTCTCGACTTGACAATTTTTGGATTTTCCAATTTTTTGATTCGATTCGTTTTTTTAACAATTAAAATCTAAAATTTGGAAAATCAAAATGAAAAATAGAAAAATTATGAAATTTGAAAAGTAAATGAAATATTGCAAAATCGAAGAATTAAAAATCAAGGAATTTAATATTATGAAACTAAAATCTCAAAAAATCGAAAAATCTAAAAACTGAAAAATTATAAACGAAAATTGACAAAAAGAAAAATTGGCAAACGAAACATTAAAATGTCGAAGTTAACGAATCGAAAAGTTTTGAAATAAAAAAATTGAAATATTGAAAAATTGACTGAATTTTTCAATTTTTCGATTTTTAAATTTTTTGTCTTTTGAATTTCAGCTTTTCGTTTCTCTTTTTTATTTTTTACTTCTTCAGTATTTCAGGTTCTCGATTCTTCAATTTTTGAAATTTTAGATCTCGTCAATTTTGTAATTTTACAATTTTCCCATTTTTTAATTATTTTAATTTTAGTTTTTAGATATATTAAAATTTTAAATTTTTCAATTTTGCGTTTTTTCAGTTTCTCGAATATTCATTATCACGATTTTTATTTTTATTTTCAAATTTTCAGTTTGAAATTGCCCAGTTTTTCAACTTTTTCATTTTCCAAATGATTCGAAATTTCAAAAGTTGAAAAATCAAAAAATTTAAAAATTTATAATTGTAAAGTTGCAAATCGGACAACTTGAAGAAACGATGAATTCAAAAATTAAAAATTAAAATTTTGCAATTTTTTGCTTTTAAATTTTTCGAATAATCAAATTTTGCATTTTTAATTTTGGTTTCTTCAATTTTAGAATTTTCAATTTCTCCATTTTTCAGTTTTTCATTTCTGCAATTTTTGAATTGCAATTTTCTTAATTTCTTTTATTATTCGATTTGTGATTTTTTAATTTTTCATATTTCTGTTTCCGCAGTTTTTTGGTTGTTTAAATTTCTTCAATTTTTTATATCTTCAAATTTTCGATTTGCAATTTTTCCTTTCGAGTTTTCATTTTCTTTACATTTACAATTTTTCGATTTTCCAGAGTAACGATTTTTAATTTTTTGTTATTTCAGTTTTAATTTTTAAAATTTTGCATTTTTTTTCTTTAATTTTTCGAGTTTTCGTTTTTAAATTTCTTAGGTTTTCAAATTTCCAACTTTCGATGCTTCAATTCTTAGATTTTGAAATTTTACGATTTCCAATTTCATCAGTTTTCAATTTTTCCATTTTTCAGTTTTTCATGTCTTCAATTTTTCAATTTTTCGCGTCTTCAATTTTTTGATTTGCAATTTTTCGTTTCGGTTTTTCAATTGTTCGATTTTTCAAAGTTTCGATTTTATAATTTTTTGGTTTTTTCAATTTCAGTTTTAATTAAGTTTTCCGTTTGTTCAATTTTTTTTTCTTCAATTTTTAGATTTTGCGGTTTTTTTCAATTTCTCGAGTTTTCAATTTTTAATTTTTCAGAAATTAGATTTTCCAGCTTAGATGTTTCAATTTTTGGATTTTTTAATGTCGCAATTTGTGATTTTTCAATTTTTCGTTTTTCTGTTTCTTCAATTTTTCATATCTTCAAATTTTCGATTTGCAATTTTTTTTTCCGGTTTTTCATTTTCTTGATTTTTAAGGTTTTTCGAATTTCCAAATTATAATTATATAATTTTTATTTTTGTCAATTTTAATTTTTCCAAATTTTCGTTTCTTCGATTTTACGGCGAAGAGTCGGGAGTTTTCATTTTTAATTTTTCAGTTTTTCGATTTTTTGGGTGCTTCAATTTTTCGATTTGCAATTTTTAGTTTCAAAGATCGAGAAATAGATAAACTAAGAAATTGAAAAACTGAAATATTCCAAAAATAAAATACTGAAAAATTAAAAACTGGGGAATCGAAATATCAAAAAGTCTAAAATACAAAAAATTCAATAGTGCAAACCCAAAAATTTGAAAAATCGAGATATCGAAAAATTGAGAAATCGAAATGTCGACAAATTGAAAAGTTCAAAATTTAAAAAATAGGAAAACTGAAGTCGAAAAGTCGAAAATTCAAAAATTGAAACATCGAGAAGTCGAAAAATTGAAAAATACATCGAAAAGTCGAAAATCGAGAAATCAAAAAATTTAAAATTGAATTCAATCAAGAAATGAAAAATCGGAGCATCCAAAAATCTATAAATTTGGAAATTGAGAACTCGAAAAGTTGGGAAAATTGGGAAATTAAGATATCAAAAAACCTAAAACACAAAAAATTATATTTTAAATATGTAATAATAATTATAATTTTTTAAAATTGTCACTTTTTCGATTTTACGGTTTTAAAATTTTTTGGTTTTTTCAGTTTCTCGATTTTTCAATTTTTCCTTTCTTCAATTTTTGTATTGCAGTTTTCCTTGAATTTTTCAAATTTCTTCTGTGCTTCGATTTTCCAATTTTTCGATTCTTCATCTTTTCTAATCAAAAATATGGAACAAATTGCAAAATTGTAAAAATGAAAAACCAAAAAAGTAAAAATGTAAAAATTGGAAATTCAAAAATCGAAACTTCAAAATCTGAGAAACTTAAAAAACGTTAAAGTGTAAAATTGAAAAAGCGAAATACGTATTGTAAAATTGAAATTTTGAAAATTAAAGAGAATCGGAAAATTAGACTACTGGAAGTCCTAAAATTGCAAAACTGAACAATTTAAAATTGGAAAACCGAGAAATTTTCAGTCTTAATTTGAAATATTATAAATTCTAAAGAAACGTTAAAAATAAAACAAATGATACAACAAAAAATTGTGCTATAATAAAAATCGAGAAAACGAAAATAAAAAAACGGGAAAATGAAAAATAAAATTAAAGAAATTAAAAATTGCAAATCGAAAGAAACTTGAAGAAACGAAAAGTTGAAAAATTGGAAGTCGAGAAATTGACAAATTGGAAAAATTAAAGTTGAAAAAACGGAACATTTTGATATAAAAAAATTATAAAATCCAAGAAAAAGGAAAAACGTAAAATCGTGGTATCAAAAAATTTGTCAAAGGCAATTAAAAAAATTTTTTTTCAAAAAATTATAAAATTTGATTTTGCGAATTTTAGAGAGGATTTCTTAGGCGATATTATGAGATGACATCATCAACTTTTTGGAAGGAGATTACGATAATCTTAAAACATCTGCACGATTTCAGAGCATTCGATTTTATAGTTTCAAAGTTAAATTGCAAAATGTTGTAATACAATTTTGATCGTTTTCCAAAAATCTGGAGTAAAAACTGGACACGGATTCATAAGCCACAATGCTTACGCTCAGGAAGTAAAAAGTAAACTTTAAGTTGTTACGGTGTTGTGCCCAAGACGCTCCTTCAAACTTTGGCTAGTGCACCTATTTTTCGCGAAATAGTTTTACGCCACTTGAGGAAAATCGTAAATTCCATACCGCGGCTGATCTCGTAAAATTATTATCGAATGCAGCAAAGTTGAAAGTTCCAGCACCTATAATCCGGTAACCGGATTTTTCCATCGTTTTAATAAACCGTGGCGTGCAGTTAACAAGCCCTCAGCTGCAACTGCTACTAACTTCTCACTTGCGGGAGTGTTTGTGTTTAATATACTCACTCTATTTCAGCTCGTGGAGTACGTTTACACTCCCCATTTCCAGTTTTAATAAGCTCTCCGGCTAAACTATGTTCCGGCCCGAGAAAGCCACTCGATAATAAAAAAGCTGCAAATTGAAACCCCGAATGTTGACTGTCGATGACAACAAAGCCAGTTTCACTCTCCGACCGCATAAAGTTGGACGATTACCGCCACCCGCTCATTTCCAATCGTCCGGATCCGCCAAAAGTCACGTGATTCAAACAATTCATGTTTACTTTGGCTGTCCGGACCAGTTCCGGTTTTTTCCAGCCGGTCCATTATCGATAACGAGTGCGTACAGCTGGATCCGTACGTCGAATTTTTAATTTTCCAAATGGCGAAACGCAACCAAGGATAAAAAGGACGAAGATTCCGGCCGGCGATAATGAGGAGCAATTTTAATTAAGAAAGCATTAAAAAAGTTGGAAGAGGGCTAATGTTATTTCCCTGTACAGAAACAAAAATGATAATCAATTCAATATGGCGCCTCCGATCGCCCGAGAATTGCATCTGCTTTTTTTTCTCGGGGGCGTTTTAAGAGGGGCGGATTTTGTCTAAATAGGTTTCGGGGTGGGGCGTTTATGTGCGATTGGTACATAATGTATTTATTGTTGAGTGGCGGCGTAAAAACCGCTTGTGTAAATTTTGAGCTACATTACTGGCAGGGTGCTTATCTTGGACGCTTTAATGCTATAAATTATGGTCAGAGCGAAGCTTTTTCGTACACATTTTTTGTGGAGCTCTTCCGGATCATGAATAAGCCATTTTCGACGTCGAAATGCCAAATGATGTACATAATACAGTTAAAAGGGGAGGGCGCTCGAGATAATCCCAATACAGACAACAACATCGTGCCCACCACTGTTTTGCATGTACACAATTTATGATCTAGTAGTAGCGAAATTTTTTGTCTCCTTCAACAGGACACCTTTTAGCCCCGAATTTTTTACGCCGAATCGATACGTTGCGCCGTTTCGTCCGGTTTAATTTGTGAGATTCCAATATTACAATATATCGCCGCAACTTAATAAAATATGAATGCACGACCAAGAGCATGCTTTATGGCAATCTATAAATTCCCGAAATTCCGGATGCGCCTTTATCTCCCAATAAAACAGGGTCCGTTGGCTGTTTCCTTGCCTCACACAATTAATAAATCTCGTGTTGTTGTCTTTTTTTCCTCGCCTTTCGCCCCCGCCACTGCTTAAACTGCCCTCGTGCAAGAAGTGGACTTTTGTTTATTGGGTCATCCGGGACTAGACGCGATGCCATCCATCCGCGTGCGGACGCTCCCATCTCCCTGAGGACGCATCCATGGCTGCTCCGGACGCAAACCTCCACCTACTGGCCTCCCTGCTCAGAATACTCGTTGGTGAGTTGCGTTACACCCTCATTTAAATTTAAGGACGAGCGTGTTTTTGCACTTGCCGCATAAAGCGGCCGCGGACGTCCAATTACCAGCAGAATCGAAAACGTGACGTATTTTTCCGACCGACGCGACTTCCATAACTTGGTCCACTTACTATTATGTTGGTGCTAGTGTTAAGCGTGGTACGGCTGCCACTGGTGGCTCCGCAAGTGTCTTATTGTATTTCACTGCCGGTAGATGGCTCTGACCACAGTCCTCCAAAGACGAAGATAATATTGACCCCAGAGACATGGTAAATCAAAAGTCAAGTTGTGACAGCTAGATGTTTAATTTTTCTACAGTTTTTTTTCTTCTTTCGACATCTTCATTTATTTTTGGGATATAAGAATATTCTTCTGCTACTTTTTCTCAAAATAGCCTATTTCAACAATACCACAATATACTATTTTATTCGTTGTGAGACAGGGGGCGGAGCTTAAATGAAAAGTTCATTTTTCTTCTCAAGAAATTACCACGTGAAACATGTTTTTAATGTCGTGTTGTTCAAAGAAAGGTATATATATATATTAAGGAAAAAGAGACGAAAAGTATGCCCCACCCACCCACCCGGATTCAAATCGTGCTAAATCTTTTATTCGTCGTGCGTCCAGGGGGCGGAGCTTAATTGCAAAGTCTATATTTCTGTACAAGAAATTACCAAGAGAAACATGTTTGTGATATTATGGGATTTTTGAAAATTAACTATTTTGAGAAAAAGTAGCGAAAGAATATTTTTATTCATCAAAAGTAAAAGAACATATCGAAAGAAGAAAAAACTACATACAAAAAAGTAGAACATTCAGTGACTTTTTGTAAATTTGTAGCGTAAATCGATTAATCTGACAATTCTGATGACGAAACTGGATATAATTCTATCCTGAAATTCACCATTTGATATTTTAAGTATTTTTTTCTTGAAAGAAGACTATGTATCTTAAGAAAAGAAAGCGATAGGCGGAGCTTAATTAAGAAGTTTATATTTATTTTTGTAAGTATCGTGTCGTTGAAAACAAAAATATATATACATATTAAGAAAAAGAGCGGAAGATTATGCCCCACCCACCCACCCGGATCTCAATTGTGATTATTATTTTATTGGTCGTGAGAGCAGGGGGCGGAGCGTAATTGCAAAAACTATATTGCTGTGCAAGAAATTATTCATAAAAATGGACTATTTTGCAAAAAAGTAGCAAAAGAATATTCTTATTTTCTCAAAAGTAAAATTTTCAATTAAGTTCCGCCCCCAAGTCTCACAACAAATAACAAATTCGTTACAATTGGAATCTTGCATATACTTCGGGTCCTTTTCTAAATATATATAGTTTCCTTTCAACGAGACGACGAATAACAAAATTAATCACAATTGAGGCAAGGGCGGGTGGATGGGGTTTATCCTCCATCTTAGTTGTGCGTAATATTGTATTCGTTGTGAGACGGGAGGCGGAGCTTAATTGAAAAGTTTATATTTCTCTACATGAAATATGTTTTAAGTATGATGTTGTGGAAAGAAAACTATATATATATTAAGAACGACCAACCAAAAATTGTGCCCCACCCACCCGCCCTTACCCAAATCGTGTCAAACCTTTTATTCGTTTTGAGACAAGAGGGTGGAGCTTAATTGCAAAGTTTCCATTTCTATACAAGAAAGTACCAAGAGAACATGTTTGTGGTACTATGATATTGTTAAAATGGATTATTTTGCGAAAAAATAGACCTATTTTCTGAAAAGTAAAATGTACAATTAAGTTCCGCCCCTTGGTCTCTCAACGAATAAAAAATTGATTACAATTGGAATCGGGGAGGGTGGGTGGGGCATATTTTTCGGCTCTCTCGCTAAATATATAGTTTTCTTTCAACAGCACGATACTGCAAACATGTTTCACGTGGTAATTTCTTAGAGAGAAATATAAACATTTCAATTAAGCTCCGCCTCCCGTCTGACGACAAATAAAAAAATTAATCACAAACGGGATGAGGGCGGGTGGGTGGGGCTTATCTTTCATACCAATTGTGCTTAACATTGTATTCGTTGTGAGACGGGGGAGGAGCTTAATTGAGCAGTTATATTTGTCTACCAAAAAATATATGTTTTAAGTATCGTGTTGTTGCAAGAAAATTACATATATTAAGAACAACCAACAAAAAATATGCCCCACCCACCCGCCCCATCTCAATTGTAATTATTTTTTATTTGCCATGAGACGATAGGCGGAGCTTAATTAAGAAGTTGATATTTCTCTAGAAGAAATTACCACGTGAAACATTTTTAAGTATCGTGTCGTCGAAAATAAAACTATATGAATATATTAAGAAAAACAAGCTTAAGATTATGCTCCACCCACCCACCCGGATCTCATTTGTGATACATTTTTTATTCGTTGTGAGAACAGGGGGCGGAGCTTAATTGCAATTTATATATTCCTGTACAAGAAATTACCAATAAAAACATATTTGTGGTATTACGATATTGCTGAAAATGAACTGTTTTGTGAAAAAGTAGCGAAAGAATATTCTTGTTCCCTCAAAACTAAAATTTGCAGTTAAATTCCGCCCCCTGGCCTCACAACGAATACAAAATTTAATACAATTGAGACAGGGGCAGGTGGGCGGGGCATATTATTGCGCTTCTTTTTCTAAATGTACACAGTTTTCTTTCAAAAACGCGATACTTAAAACATATTTTACGCGGTAATTTCTTACAGAGAAATATATACTTTTCAATTAAGCTCCGCCTCTCGTCTGACGACGAATAAAAAAATTAATCACAAACGGGATGAGGGCGGGTGGGTGGGGTTTATCCTTCTTTCCAATTGTGCTTAAAATTGTATTCGTTGTGAGACGGGGGAGGAGCTTAATTGAGCAGTTATATTTGTCTACCAAAAAATATATGTTTTAAATATAGTGTTGTTGAAAGAAAACTGTATATATTAAGAACAAGCAACCAAAGTTATGCCCCACCCACCCACCCTGTCGCAAATCGTGTCAAATCTTTTATTCGTTTTGAGACCAGAGGGCGGAGCTTCATTGCAAAGTCTATATTTCTGTACAAGAAATTACCAAGAGTAACATGTTTGTGATATTATGGTATTGTCGAAAATGGACTATTTTGCGAAAAGTAGCGAAAAAATATTCTTATTTTCTCAAAAGTAAAATTTGAAAGTAAGGTCCTCCCCTTGTCTCACAATGAATAAAAAATTTATTACAATTGAAATCGGGGTGGGCGGGTGGGGCATACTTTTCAGCTTCTTTTTCTAAGTACATATAATTTTCTTTCTATAACACAATTCTTCAAAATAGTTTCACGTGGTAATTTCTTAGAGAGAAATATAAACTTTTCAGTTAAGCTCCGCCTCTCGTCTGACGACGAATAAGAAAATTAGTCACAAACGGGATGAGGGCGGGTGGGTGGGGCTTATCCTTCATATCATTTGTACTTAACATTTTGTTCGTTGTGAGACGGGGGAGGAGCTTAATTGAGCAGTTATATTTGTGTACCAAAAAATATGTGTTTTAAGTATCGTGTAGTTGAAAGAAAACAATATATATTAAGAACAAGCAACAAAAATTATGCCCCACCCACCCGCCCTTACGCAAATCGTGTCAAATCTTTTATACGTTTTGAGACAAGAGGGCGGAGATTAACTGCAAAGTCTCTATTTCTATACAAGAAATTGCCAAGAGAACATGTTGGTGGTATTATGGTATTGTTGAAAATGGACTATTTTGCGAAAAAGCAGCGAAAAAGTATTCTTATTCTCTTAAAAGTAAAATTTGTAATTAAGGTCCGTCCCCTAGTCTCACAACGAATAAAAAATTGAGCACAACTGAGACGAGGGCGGGTGGGTGGGGCATATCCTCCATTTCACTATTATTGTATTCGTTGTGAAACGGGGGGTGGAGCTTAATTGAGAAGTTTAAATTTCTCTTCACGAAATAAAAAAAGTAAAACATATTTTAGTATAGCATTGAAAGAAAACTATATATATAAATTAAGAAAAAGCAGTAAAAAATTATGCCCCACCCACCCTCCCTGCTCCAAATCGTGTTAAATCTTTTATTCGTTGTGAGACCAGGGGGCGGAGCTGAATTGCAAAATACATATTTATGTAAAAGAAATTATCAAGTAAAACATGTTTGAGGTATTATCATATTGTTGAAAATAGACTATTTTTTAAAAAATGGCGAAATAAATAGTATTCTTATTCTGTCAAAAGTCAAAGATATCGAAAGAAAAAAAATTTGACCGCCCGAGGAAAATCCTCTAGGTGTCATGAAACGTCGAGAAATCACAAAAGTAGCCAGTAACAAGATGGACTCGATTATAATGGTTCTAAACGGACACAAACGTAATGTTCAGTCATTTTAGTCCAAGGTTCCGTCTTCTACCATGTTTAAATCGTCAGTATTGGTTAATATATTCCTATTGGATCAGGTTGATATACAAAAATACTACTTCCTATCTAAAATCTGTCCGTAACATATTTATTATACATTCATTTTTGTTCTCGTTTCGAGTCCAGCTACGTGGCCACGGAATTATAAAAACCCGGAGAGAGGAGGCGGAGAAGTCTAGTACCTCTCGCTGCTGGGTGCTGGGTGTCGGGTACCGATTGAGATACCGTCGCTGCTTAAGAAGCACGAAAAAGTCTTATACTCCCTAATGAGATTTTGTTTAGATTTTTGCTTTTAAAATTTTTTGTTTACTGTCATTAGCTATATCAACCGTAAACGAATTTGAGCCGCAGGTCTGAAGTAGTTAGTAATTGCGCAATTTTGCTGACCTTTCGTGATAATTTTCGCCCACTTCAGATTTATGGGTCTTTGTCGGTCGGTCTTTGAAGCTCGCTTTCCCTGGTCGTGACGCGGTCTTTTGCATCGGATTTTGTCATTAAACTGGTGAAATTTGACGACGGTCAGTGGCAGCCCTGTTCGAGAAGTGATTGCGTCCGGTGTTTGTGCAG